CCTATGTTAAAACTCAAGTCAGATCATGTCTTTCTCTGCTCAAAGATCTGCATGGCACCTAGTTTGTTGCAGTAAACTCAGAGTTCTTAAAATGGCATAAGGCAGGCCACATGGTCAGATTGCCTGTCAGCTTGACCCCATCTCTTGTGGCTTCCTGTGCTCCAGCCAGGTCGGTGTCCTTACTGTTCCTGGAAGGCCCATGTCCATCCACTTTTGGGCATTTGTATATTGCACTTGCTTCTGGCTGGCCCAGCCTTTGTCCAGACAGCCAGGGCACTTACTCTATGTGGGCCAATACGATCTTACTTTAAGTGTCATTGGAGGAGGTGAGTGTGGCTTTCTGTGACCACAATATTCACAGTTGCTGTGACTCTACACGTCTTTCCCTGGCCAGCTGTTTTTTTCCACAGTACTTATAAACTACTCTGTAATTTGCTGGTAGGTTATGTTTCTTATGTGTGTCTCCACGCTAGATTGCAGCTCTGAGGGAGCAGGGACTTCTTTCTGTTTTCTGTTCACTGTTGTGTCCTCAAAGCCTGGAACACACTTTCTCAGCCTCAGGACTTGGGATATTTTGTGCCAGATAGTTCCTTGCAGTGTGCTGCTCTCTTATGCAGGATGTTTAGCACCATCTCCAGTTTCTTCTTGCTAGAGGCCAGCACTGCCTCTTCCACCAAAAGTGTCTTCAGACATTGTCACGTGTCCCTCAGTGGGCAAAATCACATTGGGTTTAGAACTACTGGCCTAGAAGTATGTCTTAGCAATAAATATTTGTTGACTCTATGTGGCTGTGTCCCTTAGCATCCCATTTAGAGTAAAGAGCTTTTGTTTGGCGTTTAGCATTGTATTCCTTTTCAGTTAGATATCCTCCAGCCTGTCTTCAAAGGGAAATGTATGTGTTCGTCATTGGTGTTCAGGTCGGTATGACTCAGGTGTTTCAATGAGAACAGGCACATTTCATTTCCAGCGTCTTAATGTTAACCTTATCCTCATTTTGTTCACGTTAACTGGGGAGACCGTGTCATAGGAAAGTAGTATTATCAGCAAAGTTTCCAATGAACAATTGTTTGCACTTTGACTCCCCCAACAGGGTTTGTGAAACCTTTGTATGTGGCAGAGGAAGATGTCAGAGTGAATCCAGAATTTATACACTGGCATCACCATATTGGGGAAGTGAATGCGGAGCTGTGGAATGTGCTGCTAGGAGGTGGAGGTCTGGGTCTTACAGCGTAGTAGCAGCCACTTACAGTCTTTGTTTGATGAACTCAATTCAAGGTTTTGGGATTTTGTAGTTGATAATTCTCTTTTCCCAGGCAGATTTCACAATGGGCTTAATTGAATTCCAGTTTCTAAAATTTTGGTAGTGTTTTAGATAGTTGTTACTAAATTAAACTTTCTGCAGATTATGAGAATGCAAGTGAAAGGATGCGACAGTGGTCCCCACAGGTTGATTCAAAGAGAGCTGCAGGAAGTTTGCACAAATACACAGTGAGATGAGAAAGACAAGGACTGCTGTGTTGCAAGCATATTCACACACACTGAGTAGAAGGCCACTGCTATTTCTTGGATTTCTGCTGACATTTTTTTCCTTTTGTCTTTGTATTAAAAATGTCTTTTCTTTCATGAAATAATCTGTTTTTGTTAAAATTATCAATCTTTTGTTGGTTTCTGAAAATTTCTTGATTTTTTTTTTTGGGGTCTGTCCAGTCTGGAGAAGACCATTGGCACAGAGATTAAAGCCTTGTTTTGGTATCGGTGTCTTCCCGTAGGTAGCTGGGTGACCTTGGGCAGGTGGGGTAACCTCTCATTTTTCACATCTGCTAAATGGGGGCCTGGTTCCTAGGGAGCATAAGAGCATTAACGCTGTCGTTGACTTTGGTAATGGTGCCTGGCATGTAGGAAGTGCTCAGAGAATGTTAGCAGATGTGGTTCTTGGTATTTTCAGGAACTAACCCTTACGTGACATTCTGGAATGTGTGTATACTCCGTTGATTGTGGCTAGGTTCTCTAAGGCAAGTATTGTTATGCAATAAAATTTCCTCAATATTGCTAAAATCTTTTTTGTTTCTTTTCTAATAAAAGTGTTCGGATAACTTTTTTTACATTTTATATTTTTCATCTAATCTGTAAGAATTCCTTTATGCTAGTTAAAAAAAAAGCTAGCACCCATACCATCAGGACATACATGCAGATTCATTTTTAGCACGTATTTCTTGTGCTAGTACTTAAAAATTAATATCAATAATGATGAGTAATGTTTATTTAGTGTATATTGTGTGTCAGCCCTGTTGTGTTTTTACTTGCAGAAAATGTACTTAATTTTGCAAAACTTGCATATGAAATAAAAACAATAATAATTTTAATTTTAAAAATAGATAATGCTTAGCTAATGCTTATTGTGTGTGAGTTATTTTGAATATTTTATTTGCATTATTAACTCAGTTAATTCTCACTTCCGTCATGGGCATATGTGGTTTTATTATCTTCATTTTACAGAAAAGGAAACTGAGAGGTACCATGTTCTAGAAGGCGCCCTGGTCTGAACTGAGTCTGTTTGAGCCCCATGCTCTTGTCTACTGGTGAATAATACAGTGTGCATAATGGGGCAAAATCCTATGCTATATTACACTGTACCTTCTCCAAAACCTCCAGTTTGGAGGTATCCAGTTTCGGATTGCAGAAAGAGGAGACGTGGGTCCAGGTAATCATATATGGCAAAGTGTGGTCCCTGTGGGAAGATGGGTACCAGCATTGGGAATTCTCCAGAGCAGGGAGAAGGGTGTTGGTGTTGGTGGTGTCTGCTTTCAAGAGTAAGCAGCATCCAAACATGATTCTCTATGTGTTCGGAATCCTAGCAGAGAGACTTGATGCACATGCCGGGTGTAGAGGGGACCCATGGCTAAATGTTATTGTGGTGGCGTTGCCACTTGTCCACTCCATCTGTGTTCAAGACTCTTAGAGTCTCAATTACCTAGTTTCTTTCTGTCTCTCTTTTATCTTTTTTCTTCTGTCTTTCCCTTTTTTTTTTTTCTATTTATTGTTTATGGAGACACAGGGTATCATTGTACAGTTCAGGCTGCTCTTGAGCCCAGGTTGGCCTGGAACTGAGGCAATCCTCTTGCCTCAGCTTCCTAAATTCTGGGATTGTAGGTATGAGCTTCCATTCCTGGCTTTAGGGTCTCATTTTCTTTACCTGTAAAGTAGGGTCAGTAAAACCCATCATCTTAGAGTTGGTACAAGTGTCCAAGGTGAGGTCAAAACCATGTCAATGTATTTAGATAGCACCTTGTATTTTTAGTAAATGATGACAACTCTGTTCTGGTAGAACTTTACCATAACAATTTTTCCCTCCTGCTCATAATAACTAGTGCATATATAGAATCATACTTGAAGTAAAATAGGTAAGACTGTGGTGCTCTAACCTTGCAGATGATCACCTTGTACTATGCAGATTAGTTTTGTTGTGTGATTGGATGAAACATTTGATTACAGTGGTATTCTAAGTGTTCTAAGTGTTAGCTTTGTGTATTATTGGAGATTTCCTTTTTCTCAATTATCACTATTTATAGGATTTCTTTATGTCTAAGTATGTTTCATTCTCTCTGAGTTCTGCAGTGCAGTCTGCACAGGCTGATGTTTATATCTGCTCCAGTTGTGCAAGAAGTGGAAAATATCCTTTTTTTAGAACAGGTCACATGTGCTTACTGTCAGGAATAGGACCTCAGTGTAAAAAAATGTATCTTGGGACAAATCAAAGTTACTAAATTTCTCCCTCCAACTGCTTTGTTTCAGAGCTGGCAGTATTAGGATAAATAATAAGAAAAAATATGCCTTGGCTACTTTGTTTGTTTGTTTGTTAAGGACAACAAGCAAGGGCTCTGTGTGTGTGTGTGTGTGTGTGTGTGTGTGTGTGTGTGTGTGCGTGTTGCTATTAAATATAACTTAGATTTATCTAATTGGAATAAATCATAAAAATGTTGACTGTATTCCAAGTATGCACTATTTGGAGAAAATAATCAAGAAGGCAAGTCTGAGATATTAAATGCTGTAATCGCAAGCTTTCATATTGTAAAGGAGTCACTAGACACAGTTTGTGAGTCTAGTGAGCACTGTGTAGTATGAGGAAAAGAATTATACAAAGACATGATACTTGCATCTTTACTGAGGCCAAAGAGGTGAAAAGGCCTGTGTGGAGGTCTAGAGTCCCCATATTTCCACTCCCCCTCTATCCCAAGAATTTCAAAAAAGGCCTGGTTTGGCTTCTCAGTGGTAAGCCCATTTGTCTAGGTGGTTTCTTAAACATGACTTCTTTGTTTCTTGATCTTTCTTTTTTTGTATTGGGGATTGAACTCATAGCCTCCACAATAAGCTGCATTCCCAGACCTTTATTTTTAACTTCAAGACAGGCCCCACTAAATCACTGTGTTGCACAAGCTAGGCTCACATTTGCAGTCCTCCTGCCCCAGCCTTTCAGAGTTCTGAGATTATACATCCAGCTGGCTTCCTTCCTTCTCTGTTTTATATTTTCTTCCTTTGGCCTTTCATGCATGCTATGAAGAATAGAAAAGTAAACCTTTGGGATGTTCACTTGTGACATCTGTCCTGAGATGCAGGAGTGTGATGCTCCTGTCTTCAGGGGTTTCCAGGTGCTGGGCACTGTTCCCCCACAGGGTGCTGCAAGTGGTGACTCATTGGCTCTTTTCTGTAGGAGCTGGAAGTTGAATCTTGGTAGGCTGGAAGGGATGCTGGACTTTGTAGGAGTCAGGGTCATGGTGAGAAAAGCCCCAAAGGGCTGTAAATGGTACCTCAATATGACGTAAGCGAGGGTCCTTATTGTCCTCCTCAAGCTGTTTTTAAGCTTCCCTCAGTTTAAGCAGAAGGATAACTGAGATCAAATGGATCCAGATGTATCTGTTTTTCTCCATATCCTTCTCTTCCATCTTTGTTATTCTCCCAGTTATTTGTTAGGCACCAGAAGTGTGTCTGGCTTTGCACTGGCCATGGGGTATAGAGTTTCTGCTAGCATCATGCTTCCATGATGGAGGTAAGGACCTCCAAATTAATATAGATACCAAACACATAAGTGAGCAAGATAGTTTTTGTTAATTGTGGTAGAAACAAAATGGGGAATTGTTGGTAGAATGTGACTAGGAAAGAATCAGGGTTTATTAGTTTGGATAACCAGGAAGGATATCATGGAGGGAGTGATTTTGAGGTAAGACTGACTGTCTGATGCAAAGTTACAGGTCTTGGCACTATCAGTCATTGGCTCTGTGACTTGGACAAATCACACAACCTTTCTGAACTTCAGTTTCCTCTTCTGTAAAATGAGGCAGTAGCTACCTTGTAAGACTGCTATGAAGACAAGAGGTAATATGTGTGGAGCAGTGAACATTAGGTTGTAGTAGGTGGTTAAGAAGATTGTAGGACTGGTTTTGAATAGTGGAGAAAGAAATGAAGATACTGATCTTTGTTTTGTTTATAACGTGAATTATGTGTTTCCTTAACATCTAGTGGTCAGATTTTGTGCTTGTCTTTATAAAACTAGCCCTGGACTAAATGTGGAAATGTGTTTTGTTATTTGTTATTATCTCTTCTTTCTTCCAGAATCATCTTGGTCCATGCTGTGGCCTTGGTCTTCCCACTGTGGCTGCATTGAGTTCATATCTGAAGATGTTAGCTTAAGAGTAGGGCTTTAGATTGGATTTTGATTCTAGGTGTAAGGGGATGTACAAGTATGCAAAGGTTCAGCAGTGCCTCTATGTGCTCGATGTCACAAAATGTTCAGGCCCACCGCGAACACAGAAGCAGTGGAGAACTCCTGACTCTCAGTCCTGTGTCTCAGCCCTGGGTCACACTTCCTGTCTACACTGGTGCAAAATGTCACTGTAGGTGCAGAAATGAAAAGGCAAAGCTCTCCTCCCACACAGGATGCCAGCGTTCACCAGCCTTGACTTCCAGAGGCGATATTGTGTTTTTAATGAATGTCTTGAAATTTTTGAAGCATCTGGATTTCAGTAGCTGTGTTCCTTGATTCAGGTACCTAGGGAATGGTAACTTTCAAAAGGAAAGATCCTAGGTTGTGTGAGAAGAAATATTTTAAGTGCAAATGCTAGGTGTCTGAGAGCAATGGTAGGATTCTGTCTTATTAGAAACTGTGGCTTATTGAGCAATTTAGGGAAGACATCTGTGATCTCTGCCCTTCCTTGCCTTCTCCTTCCCTGTAGTAGATAACTTGCTGAATCATTTCTTTTCTTTTCCCATATGATCATGGACAGCAGTGGAAAAGTGGTTGTTCACACTGTTAGAAGAATGCATGGCTTGTATTTGTAGGAAACTTTCCTTCTGGGAAGCTTAATTTGCTACAGTGGGAAGAAGGTATGAAGCAGACAAGATTCATTTAGTGTGGAGGCTGGGGTTATATAATTTATATATAATTATGAAATGATAGTTAGGAATGCTGTATTTAGTTTGGTACTTTGGCTGCAAAATGTTCTTCAATATTAACTGGTTCTAAGAAGCATGCTTTATCAAAATATAGGTTTTATTTTTATTACTGAGGATTTGAAATTTTGGTTGAAGAAAATGCACATGAAAATTGTAAAGATGATTTTCGTATTTAACTCAGGGGTTAGTGTAATTCTAATAAAGTCTGCCAGAGGCCCTTATGAGAAGTGCTCCAGTGCTCCCCTTGTATGAATGCAGTTTCTCCTTAACTGGTAAAGACATTTCTCAAAAACTGAGTCCATGAACAAGCATGTAGATAAGTCAGTGCTCTTAGCAGTCACCCTTCCATCAAAAAAACAAAACCTGAGGGCGGGGGAAAAAACCCTGATATATTGCTGCCTTTCTTTTTAGTATTTATTTGAAAAATTTCATCAGAAGTGAAAAGGCATCACTTTAGTCAGCTTTGCTCAGTTGTATTCCTGAGCTTGTGTAGCAACACCATCTAAATTTAGGTGATTGGCTCCTTGACTAGTAGAAGCTTTTGCAGCTGATTTTTAATGCTTTTTTTGGCCAAGAAAACCGTGAGTAAACAATAAAATGCTATTGACCAGTTAGGGTCACTTGTAAGGAAAGAAGATGATACCAACTCTGCATTCCTGGAAGTCTAGTTATTTATTTTTAAAAGAAGATTATATAGTAGCTTATGTGAAGCAATCCCTGCAAATACAACCAGCTGGCATAATCCCTGGTGACATTCCAGATAAGTTTGCCCATTTGCTGCAAGGAAGTTTGTGCGGAAAGTAACTTGGAAGAGGTTGGCTCCTGACACATGATATACTGGACAATCAGAGGGTAGACTTTTTGGAACCATGCCTTGCATCATCATAACATACTAATTTCCCCCTGGTCATTCCACTAATAATATTTTTATCTAGGTAAACGCTAGATGAGCAAATGCCAAATGATGGGATCTTGGAATGCAGTTCTAATGACACTGATTATGGATGGAAACTTTAAATCTCTGTTGATTCAGAAACAAATGAGAGGGTTTGATGATGCTTACTTGGTCATAGTGTTGAAGTCACTAACATGCATGATTTAACAGGAGTTTAATGACAAGGACAATTAGTTATCGTTTGTTTTGGGGGTCAGTGATACCATCTGCCCCTCTGTTGTTTTGGAGTTCTGCATTTTGTACCCCCTTTTCTCACTCTTATACATATGCCTGACATCTTTCTAATTAGTTCTCACTGGCAGCCAGCTTCCTTTTTCTTGTGTGTTTCTTTGAGTGGACACTTTTGTCTATTAATATTTTCATTTCCAGATTCTCATATCTACTCCTTTCACATGCTCAGACTATGTTGTTCAGTTTCATGGCTCCGGCAACTGAAGAGAATTCAATACAAACCTGCCCTTATGGCCTTATCACTGGGATTGGTTTCAGGGAGGAGAACATCCATTTGTCAAAGTGAAATATCACTAATGTAAATCTGGAACTACCTTTCTTGAGAGAAATGAACTGTTATTTTTTAAACCAGTAGGCAATTATTATCAAAAACCATATAAACAGCACTCCCTTATTTTTACTAAATGTGTTCTAACTCAGGGAATGTTTCATTTCAATACAAGAGTAATTCAATATGGAGACCATTGAAAAAGCCTCAGTGCAGTTTCCCAAACCTGAGTGTGCAGGAGCACCCCCTGGAGGACTTCTGGGGAATAGCATAGCAATTTCTGATTGAGGTGCTGGTCTTAGGTGTAAGACTTCATCTGGAGTAGTTTCTCTGTTGGGTTCGGTGTACACCTTGCAAACCATTACGCTAGGGTGGTGTTGGTGGGTGATTTTACACAAGGAAACAGAAAACACTGCAAGATGTGAAATATAAATAATATAAACTTGGGCTTCCCTGTCAGGAGGCAAAATACTCAGATTGAATTTGGCTTGTAAAGTCATTTGTTGGTTAAATAACTAAGAGTTCAAGGATACAGATAGGGATAACTAGGTTTACCAAAGTAAGTTTCTATAAGTGTGATCTCAGTGATTTGCAGTTAACCCATTTTTATTATCATAAGGAACCCTGACCCAAACCAAGAGGGGGTGGCAGTTTACTCCAGATTCTGAGAGTGTGAAGCAGTTACTTAACACAAAGCATTGGTTAAAAAACATAGTGATGGTGCTTCAGGGCATGTCCACATGACCAGATTGTTTTTCACAAAACTTCTGCTGAGTAAAACTTGAAATACGACTGTCAGCCTGTTTTCCCATCTTTAATGAAATCCAGACAGTTTGTAGAGTGTGGGAGCTTCCAAAACAGAGGGGCTGGATGTCTGTGACCAGTCAGCACCCATTTCGTCACACATAAGGGTGTCTTGACATAACAGAGTCTTTCGCTTTGTTTGAATCTCACCAAGCTGCTTACTTCCCTTATGCTGAAGTAGAGGCCGAGAAACAAGGGCAGGGCCAAGGTTGGGTCAGACAAATAAAGTCTATTGAAAATTTCCAGACTCCTGTTTTCCCAGAAGTGAGGCTGTCTCTGTGCTTAATTCACTGAGTCCCACGTATTTTGAAATTTTTTTGTTATTGTTGTTGCTTCTGCAGAAAGAGCTCTGATCTGTTCTTGCTGCAAATTGGTTAAAAGTCCTAACAAGTCTTAACTTTGGAGTAAGACCAATTTGAATTTAAATTGCAATTTGGCCACCTCGTAACTTTGGGCAAGTTATGCTTGAGGCCCCTGTTTCAACACAAGACTAAAAGGAGGTAGTGGATAATAATATGTTGTTCATTATAGAGTAATTGTGAAAATTAAAAGAGATATATAAGTGGAGGGCTCAGCCCAAAATCTGATTCTTAGTTGACTTATTCTGATTACCTTCATATCCATGGTATCAATGAGGCTTTTGACCTGAAGTGAATTTTTAGTTTTGTACACCATAATAAAAGAGAGGGAATAACTCGGAGGCAATCAGCAGGAAGACAGGAAGAGTCAGGGAGAAAAGGGCCTCAGTAGTGGTCAAGTTGGATAATCAGCATCAGGGTCTTTTAGAGTTATTGCAGGTCAAACAGTGGGGGATTATGGGACTGCAAAGAGGGAGGTATTTAAGGACAGCAGGAGCTATTTGCATGCAAGGCGTTAACTTTTGTGTCCAGCACAATCTTTGTCTTTATCACTGTGTTTCCTTTCATCATAATAATAGACTGTAGCTGGGTGGAGAAATGAATAATAAGATGCACTAATTGGCGTTGCCCAATGCCATGGCATGAAGCAGCTCAGCACCACTGTCTTCTCCAGGCCGAGAAGTGTGACTGCTAACTGTCATCTGCAGCTTCATCTTTGTATTTATGCTTTAAACACCACAGGTCTAAATGCAGCCACCTTTAGCCAGTACAACTCACAAGGCCTTGCATTCTTGAACCTCAGGGTCATTAGATCTTTCTGTCCTTCTAGTATTTCCCCTTGGTATTGGCTATTTAGGAGACTAGAGTCTTAAGTTTTAAGATACCCCTCATCCTACCTACATGATAGTTGTCTTGTCTTCATCATCACGAAGTTTTGCTCCTAAAACCTGTAGCTGAACTAGTCACCAGAAAACAGAAAGGGATTAACGTGGGTAGTAACTATCTTTGTAGGGAACTTGCCTGTGTGTGGATGCCTTTGTCGGTTGCAGCTGAGTCCTGTTACCAGGGCAGCCAGGTGCCTGCCTCATTTTCTTTCTGTGAAGATACAGAGAAGTAATAAATTTGTTCTAGAGATGCAGTGGATGCCAGCTGCTGCAGGTGTGACCACATCTGGGGCTCTGCTTGCTCTACTGCATTTGTTGCCCATCTTTGCTGACTACTGCAGTTTTGTACTATTACTGGTGCCACTTCTATTAGAATTAGGAGTTTGCATAAGAATTGGAGATATGGTTAATCACGGTAACATTTCTGTGCACAGGTGCTGTTGACTCTCCCATTGCTTTTTTGCTGTTAAGTCCAGAGTTTAAAACACACCAGCTGAACAGACAGTTCTCAAATTCTTGGCAGTTTTTGCAGCAAGCTTTCAAATAGATCCTAGTGTAAGAGCAGCTCAAGAATCTTCCAGACCACTTCCAACTATCAATGGTGTGTGGCTGTGAATGAGGGTGAATTTCATTGCCACTTAATGGGATGGAGCTTGTACTAGAATCCATGCATACAGTTAGACAGACATACAGGATTCTCAAGGCAGCATTGTTCAGATAATTTCATCTTCTCTCTGGTATTAGAACTAATCTGAACTTGTTTCTTGGAGAAGTAGTTCCAGTCCTGAGTTTTATAAGGAAACAGAAAAACAACAACAACAACAACAAACCACAAAAGTTTCCCTCTTCCCACAAAATCAGAGGAAACAGGTACACTGAAGCACTGAAGCTAAAGGTATGTAGTGATGGATGCTTTCCTGTGGAGCTGCTGTGTTTGAAGGTTTTCTGAACACAGAAGAGTGGAGATTGAGAAGAGCTCTAGTCTCATGGGTTAATGAACTCTGACTGTCCTTGAGAGAATGGAGTGAAGTGGCTGTGTCGGCTGGATGAGAGAAACTGAGCTCAGATCTAGGGGTGGAGCCAGCCACAGAGATGGAAAGGGTGACTTTGGATGTCTTCAGTGTTAGATTCCTGGGGCATTTATTTGGGAGGATGATAAGATTTGCTTATTAATTTTATTTTCCCAGAGTCATTATTAAAATACTATTTGTAGCATCCTAGAGCAAATTTACTTGGCTCTGGAAGTGACATGATGTTTGAGAAGTGTTTACTGAGCCTACTTTAGAGCCAAGAGACAAAACTTGAGCTAAAAGTGTCCAGGTGAGCCTACTGTCTCCATGACAACTGAGTGACTGCTTAGTGATGATCAGATCATGAAGGGGCAGATGAGTTCTTTCTGGGGGAATAAAGAGCCCATTTAATGATCGTATCAGCCACTCTAGAAAAGGAATATGTTTTAAATGGTATTCATTAAAAAATGGCTTGAGTTGCCACTTAATTTGAAAGCCTTACTTAAAAAAATAATGTATATTTTAAGAAATCAAGCATCTTCTAGTTATAAATAGTTATAATATTTATTTTACTATCAGTCCCCATGGGAACAGGGAATTTGTTAGCTCTCTGTGTATCTTGACTATCCAGGCTGCTGAGTGTCCAATAAATTTTTGTTGACTAAAGAACAAAGAGGATGGATGCAGTCTTCAGTGTGTGAAAATGGGCCAGCAACTTTGAGGGACTCTATTAAACCCTTTCAGGAGATGTATAAAAATGATCTCAACCTTTCCTCTTACTAGCTATGGGTTCTTGTTAATTTTTCTGAAGTTCAGTATCCTCACCTAAAAAATGTGGCCTATCATAGAATTTCCTTTTTACCATAGTTTTGAAAATTCTAAGAAGGCAAAATATAGAAATGACTGATGTATTTAATTCCTCGATACAATAAGTTCATGGTTGTTACTACATAAGTAATGTCATAAAACGGTTCTGGTTACTAATGTTCTGTCGTCATTAAATTAGTGCATACTGAACCACTGCTACTAGAGAAATAGTAGCTAGGTTCCTGGGAGCCTCTGATGACAGCATTTTTGTCAACTAATCAGTGGATTACTGTTCTGCTTAAACAGTTTATTGAATATACTACATTACTGATTTATTAAAATTGAAGCACTCTAACTGGGTCTGAATGATGCTTATGTTTTTATTGGTATGTTTGTGTACATAATGATTACTTTCATTTTGAGGAATTGGAGCATGCACATCTTAATAATTTTGACTTCCCCTCCTCTTTTTATTCTTTCCTAGTTTCCTTTCCATTCTAAAAAGTCCTGTTTCCTATCATTTCTCTTTCATTTTGCCTTTTATATTATTTATATTTTGGACCGCTCAAAAGCAATCATGTAATATTGACCCTTCCATGTCTCATTTTTTTTTTTTAACTTGGTATTATGGTCTCAAGATCTATCCATTTTTTTTGTTTTTTTTTTCTTTTTCATTTTTATCGGTACCGGGGATCGAACTCACGACTGCCTGCTTGCAAGGCAGGTGCTTATGCCGCTGAGCTAAATCCCCAGTCCCCAAGATCTATCCATTTGAATGATGTTTATCTTAGTACAGTATTTTCTCCATAGGACACATCACAATCTCCTACACTTGGGCTCTCTAGAAATCACGTCAGCACTGTGCATAGGCACCCTTTAAATGGTGGAGTGGCCAACAAAACACAAAGAAATGCAGAAAACGTGTCTTTGAAAGAAACCACAGTATGCTACGAGTGCTGAAACCAAAAGGCAGATCATCACCCCCTTGCTTGACCTCAGTTGGAAATGTACACAGTGGGCTGCTCAAATTTCTGGCTATTCTGTGAATGCCCACATTTGACTATGAAAATGCTTCCACTGTTGATGTTTGGAATTGCAAATAGATGTTGGCAAGTAAGTAAATTCGAAAATGGAGAAATCTATGGATATTGGGAGTTGCCTGCTGTAAAAATTGTTTTCTTTCGGCTGTATTTCTCTAGCAGTTGTTTTTCTGCATAAAAACTTATTGGGAAGAACATTTTAAATACGGTATTATCAACATGTGACAGATTACATATGAAGCCACATTAATAAAAAATTTTCTGGGAGTCTCATCTTCTGTTTTTACCCATTTGTTTGCCAATAAAAATTGTCCTCATTTTCAGATTTTTAAAGTTGATGGGGGCTTCACTGTTTATATTTAGTACTTTTTATTTTGATATCATTTCTGTTGTGCTTTATTTAGAAGGGTGGAATGTGAGTGTGAGAATCTGGGCAAAGAGACCCAGAAATCATGAAGACTCCCAACAGAAAATAGATGTATGGCTGAGAAATTGTGGTGCAGGCTGTTTTGAGGTGTATATGTAAGGGCCTAGAGTTGAAAGGTGATGATTTTGGTTTCTTTGTGTATCAGAAATTACCATATTATAGTCATCAGCATAGTTGTCGTTGTAAACATCACCTGAGCACCTATTAGGAGTACTTACATTTCTTTTCAAAAGAGGGAGGGAATTGTGTTCTGTGGCCATTGCAAGTTGCAGAGCAAACAGACCACATAATTTAATAAAAGACAGAGAACACAAAGAGGAGCAGTACTAGTAACATCAGCAGCATGAAGCGTTTTAAAGCCATCCTTACACACTGTCTTATATAATGCTTTGCTGACCTCTTGCGTACGGTTTCCTTGAATACTATAAAAAGAAAGATTTGGGATGCAGTGTGCACACACATGTGTATGTGTCTGTCTGTCTTAGTCCTGAAATAAGGAAAGTACCTGTGTAATTTTTTTCAGTGTTAGAAATGTCAAGAAGCCAAAAGAGCAGTAATGAATAATTCGGAGCTAGGTGCACCTGCTATCCACCAGGTGTGAGGTGAAACATTTGAAATTCCTTACATAATGTAATTCTAACATGAGGTTTGTAGGATCCCTTTTATAGGTGAAGAGATGAACTTGCCTGTCTTCCGTCACTTCAGTATTTTAAATTATTCAAATAAACAAGATTTGAAACAAAGAGTGTCTGGTTTAAGAGCTCACTCTTTTCTTCCCCAAACTATGGTGGCTACCAGGTATCCTGGGGTTCGGAGGGAGAGGCAGGACAGGAAGTGATCATGGATGACAAGTCATGTTGATTTTGGAATGGCAAGAGGACTAGGTTTCTGATTAAGTAAAGACAAAGAGCTCAGGGTGTGGCTGAATATTTGAATCCAAAGTAAATAGGTACATCTATTAAAGGTGCTCACAGCATGCCTGTCTGTATAGTCCTTTGTTTTCAAAGCTATTTCAGAAGAAGGGAAGGAGGTAGACTGTGAAGGCTTCAAGAAAGGTGGCAAAAGATGGGCTCTTTCCCAAGGGCGTGGTGTGGAAGTTGTATGTTTTTGTCATTCTTTATTAAAGATCTCTCTCTGTCTCTCTTTTTAAATTTGAAACAAGATATCACTCTCTTGCCCAGCAAACTGGTCATGAATTGGTAGGTTCAAGTGATTCTCCTATCTCAGCCTCTCAGCTGCCCCAGTAGCAGGGACTGTAAGCAGACACCACAATGCCTGGTTCAAATATCATATATTTGAAGGTTGCTACCTGATGACCTTGAGAAGTCTTGTCTACATCCCCATCCATGTGTTCTACCACTGAACATGTAGCTTCTAGCATCTTGATGTTTTCAACTCATCTCTCTTCTCTTTTTCTGCTTCTTTCCCCTCCCAACCTGACTTGTTAATTGCTTTTCTTTTGTGTCTTCATAAGGTTGTAGCCAGGCTGTTCCATTCTGGGATGTTTATCTTTTACATGCCAGAGTTCTTGAAACACCATAATGTTGTGTAATGAGCATAACTTCTGCCTTGACATGTGGTGTTAAGAGCATTAGTCACTGCAACGTATTGAGTTAACTATTTTCAATAAAAGGATATAATGGCCTAACAGGAAGAAGGTATAAAAATTCTAGTTGATGGTTTTAATGGTGAGCCATATACTTAGTGGGTTCCATCAGTGATGAGTTAGAGATCCACAGAATAAATACAGAAGCATTCTTACTCTTAATGAGTAGAACAACAAAAAAACCACTAACAATTTTAAAAGAAAAGACTTTGTTCTCACACATACCAAGAGAAGCATAGTCTCTCTCTGCTTCTTTGCTTCTGTTCCTGATTCATTATTATTATTATTATTATTCCTTATTATTTTAGTTCCTTATTATTTTAGTTTCAGAATAAGGGCATAGAGAATATCTATAGTGCCATTAATCACATGTCACACAACAGTGGTATGTTCTAATCCATCACAGTAATCATTTTCTTTTCCAATGTAGTGTCTTGTAAATATTGATTATTATTTTTATTATCTAATTAGTAATTGATGATATTTTGGGGGTTAAAGGGTTTTTGGAGGGGAGCTCCATGTATTATCATGAAGTTTCTGTGTATCCTTTCCTTGGGGGAGTATTGATCTCTTTCCTCCCCTGTAAGGTGTTGAATTTGTTTGCAGTCATTATTCACTGAGTCTAGATATGGAGGTAGTTTTGAATGGGAGCCGAGTAACCTGTTGATGTAAAGTCTGTTTTACCTTCATGATTACCATCGTTGGCACCTCCCTCCTGCCTGGATGAATTCTCTGTCATTTTAAGTAGGCAGCAATTACTGGTTTGCTAAGGAAGCCAGCTCCTGCTGCCAAGGATCCTATTAATTATCACTGTATCTCTAATTTGGTCTTCCTCGTGTTGAGAGAAGGGGCATGTAAGCGTGTGGCAGAGTGTGGCAGGGTGGCTGCCATCACATCTCCGTAATAATCTCCTTCTGAGCTGGTTGAGTGGCCTCGATGTTCCCCCAAAGGGCCGAGGCGGCCCTGGTGAGTGTTTCCATCTCTCTTCTGTATGTGGCTTGGTCAGTGAAGTTTGGTGTGGTTTTCTTCTTGCTTTGATTCTGACATGAATACAAACTAATGGTTGGCCTTCATGCCGGGAATTCAGACCTATTTGTCATCTGTCCATGAACTCAAATGGGACACCTTGAACATACGTAAGTGTTTTTCCCATGAGCTGTTTTCTCTTCTTGTGAAAAAGAGACCAGGGAACTGACTCTGTGCTGTCTTCAAGAAGGTAATGTAAATGGCAGCCACTGTAACTCAGATTACAGCTTTTTATATGACACTTTTTTTAAAAAAGGTATTAATTTTTTTTTGTTGTTGTTAATCTTTGTTTAATGTTTAAACTCTGACTCTGGTTCATAAATGGCTGGCTGCTCTTCCGTTTTCCGAAATGTCCAGTTCACTTGTTTCACTGGACATTTTTTCAGAACTTCCACTAGATCATTTGATTAGGTTAGAGTGCTTATGCTTCCTTTTCCACTTTTTACTGTTATTTTTGGCGTTGTCGGTGTTTGAAGATGTAGAAGTGATTCACGGCAAACTGAATTAGTTTTCCATGTTTCCCAATGTGTTTTCCAGTCACCCCCAGGTTTCTTTTCCTCCTGTCAGATGATTCTGCACTTGAACTTCTGTCATTCTTGCTGGCTCAGTTGTAAATGCTGATGTCATCAGATTTCTTAAATTACAGCTGGTGGGGATTAACATAAATTGTAAAAGAATACCACTTCCTCATTTTGCTGTTTTTCTTGAATAATTATTTTCCTTTCAGGAGGAAAGGATTAGGGTTAGGATTTGGAAATAAATTCTCTGTCTTGAACTTCAAAAGACAATTCTCATTTTTCTTTTTCTGTTACTCTTTAAAGTTAATTTAGTGCTGAGGATAGATACTCTCATGTGCCCGGTAATAACCCCAGACAGACTTTCCTCACTCATGGTTTTGCACTTTGGACTGTCTGCTACCCCGGGTGAATAGTTTTGAATACTTCCCTTAAGTATGTTTCTTAATATAGAATATTTTTCTCAACAGTCTTGCCAACTCTAGGCTGTTACTGCTATTAGGCGAAGGTTTCTGATTTATTTACTAATTTTTTTTAGATCTTTTTATTATTTAAGAAATGCTTAGCTCTGCCCTTTTTGTTTTTCTTGGTTAGAATATAGGTGTTATTTGTAATCATTTTGAATGCTAGACACCTTCAAAGTTTTAGGTTGCTGACTTTCTACTTCTGGTTGCAACAATCAGAGGCTGGGGCTCTGACTTTCTTGTCTCTCGCCTTGTGGTTTGAGTGATGGTTCCATAAACTTTATCCTGTGTTCTCTGATCTTCTGGGTGGGACACTGGAAGCCACCTGGAAGTGGGTATAAAGGATGGCAAAGCCCTGTTTGGTGCTATTGATGAATTGCAGTCCTGTGAAAATAGAAATAGAAAGGGTTCAGCATTTGCACTTTCCTCTGGTGGTGTTTTTGCTTATTTTGTGTATTTAGAAAAAGCAACCATATGCAGACTGCTGAGTTACTCTTTTCCCTGGAATGGAAACCATTTGGATTATTTCAGTGAGTTTTAGCTAAGATTTGTTTGTTCACAGTATTAGTTTTGTTTTCTGGTGTCCTGTTTAGAATAAGACCAGAATGTATCTTTTTACTTTATGTAAATAAGTGCTACTCTTGGTGCCTTGGAATTTTGCAAGCCAATGTGAATTTGAAAAATCATATGTTTACCGCACAGAATGAAAATAGAAACTCTTTAGTGAAAATTATAGATATGCAAATATTTTCATCATGGGTCATTTATTTTCTCTGAAAAAGTTTTGACCAAAGTATTTTAAGATTTCAGAGCAATCACTTTTCCTGGTTAATTTGAGCAATCATTTTTCTTGGTTAATTTTCTTGCTAATTAATTTCTCATTTTTAAAAAGAAAAACAAGATTAAGCAGGATTTGCAGACCAAAATCATACATATTAGAATATTTGGTATAAGGTGGTGACAGGTTCTTTGTTGTTGTCTTTTATGAAGCAGTGAATTTAGTTTAACTTTGTAGGATTAGAGATAAACAGAATTTTCTTACTATAGAAAAAATATTAAGCCTTGATTCAAGATTCTGACTATGGGTTGAGATTGTTCAACTCTGAAACTTTTGCATTATAATATTGATATATTCTTGCAGACCTAACATTTTCTCCTAACATCATTATGACAAGTCATTTGAATTGAGGCTTTGGGATGGTATAGCTATCTGAAAAATATTTCAGATGTCAGTGTGGCATTTTTAAAAATTAAATGAAATTTAAAAGTTTTGATAAATAGAATAAAGAGGGGAAAACGAAGAGTTACAAACTGGTTGAATTGTTTGCATAAGAGTTAAATTTTGCAGTTATCTAGGAATCATCACTAAATATAAGAAAATAGATGTTTATTAGTTAAGGGGAGGTAGGACTGGGAAACATTATGAAGTTATAAGAGGAACTATGGGATAGGCATTGAAAACTAACTTTCACAAGGTTGATAACCATGAATAGTATCTTATCCTGGCAAATAGCATATACTGGAGCTAGTAATTGCTCAGTAAATGTTGAAGAAATGAATGAATGAATGCATTGGAAGACCTGTTTTCAGGGACAGCTATACCACTGACTCATGATTCCAGCCTCACCATTTATGAAGACTCTGTTTCTGTGTACAGTGAAGTGTAAGGACTAGCTCAGGGGTGTCTGTGGGACTCTGCTGGTCCTTTCCTTTGCAAAATATCACGCATTGTCCCTACTCCCTTTTCCGTGAGTCTAGGAGGAGCTTTGGGCCTTTCTCTTCATAGAGACAAGAGAGGGAACTTATTTTCTGTTTCAGAAGTACTTCTCCCTGAGGTCCTTTTCTTTGGTTTTTTGATTTTGGGTCATTTGGTTTTTGATACCTCAAGCCTAATTATAAGTCAGGAATGTTATGTGATATTTCTTGGTCAGCAAGTGTTCACTTAAATAGCAGCAGTGTTAGCTGAATATACTATTGCCCTTCAGTTTAGTATTTTTTTCTGGTAGATTGAGCCTATAGAGATAGAACTTAATGAGTGGGTCTAGAAGGTATTCCTCCAGTGGAGTAGCATATCAAGAAGTGACTGGATCAACAATGGTTTGTTTTACTGTTTGTAGCCTATTTATACATCTAGCATGTGATTATCGAATTATCTACAGCATGCCAGACACTATGCTAATGATAACATGACTGGCCCCAAAGCCAGGAGCTATGCCTTCTTGTAACTCAAAGTGACATAAATACCATGCTAGATCTGTAATTTATCCAGTAAGGCCAAAAGGTGGAAAGGTCAGTTCTGAAGGGACAAGGGAAAAGTAGTAAGATCACTGCCATGCAAATGAGAGGAAAATATTCCAGGTGGAACCCAGCATAGTGTGGCATCTGTGAACACGGGCGAGGTACCAGGGAGCATGACTGCTTTACACAGAGGAACAGCTCTCTGGTTGCCAGATGAAGAGAGGTTTGGAGGGTGGCCAAATCTGGTGTCCCAGAGGCCAGTTAGGATGATTCTAGCTCAACTGTCTTTGTGAGAAATGATGATACACAGGCGCTTTGCAGCCCTGAAGATAGTGTGCTATTGCAAAAGAGTAAAAATCTTGGCCACAGATTTCAAGGGCACTGAGGGCAAAAGTAAGGCTGTGTTCACACTGCTTCTGGGTGATAGTGAAGCGATTGATAATTCATTCATTAATTTATCACAAAGGTACCAATTCTGAAGCATGCACCTGGGAAACTCATGGTGAATAAAAAAGACCCGGACTTTGCTCTTGGGGAACCCTGCTCTAAATGTAGATACAAGCAGATAATTATACATACACTCTGCATTCTTTATGAGGTAAATGAGACAAATTCTAAGGGTCCATCGTATCTACAAACCCTCACTCCTTTCTTATGGCTACTTTATAGTCTGCTAACATAGTCTCTGCTCTCAGGTAAGTTGTAGAGGATAAAGCTAAAACAACAGATAAGCTTTAAGGCCTTTGCTTTGTATTAAACATGCTTATGCATTTGCATATATGTGTGTGCATTCACATACTAATTAAATATGTCTGTCTTCATTCCAGAGATAGGCAAGCACCTAAAATAAGGGAGGTCAATGTGCTCCAGGTAATGTTCCAGATATTTTCACTTGTTTTGTGAACTCTAATGTTTTGCATGGTATGATATTAGGTGTATAATTCCAAATCCAAGAAGAATTCAAATTGGCCTTCATTTCTGTGTTCCAGGGTATAGCCAGTGTTTGGAATTCATGTTCAGGAGCAAGAATTCACTGATAGATATTAGATATGTAGCATATTGGAAGACATGTTTTGGTCCAAAAATGACAGTAACAACCAGTTCCTCCCCTAAATAGAAAACTTTCCTATGTTCTCTAACCCAGAATCATCTATAAAAATATAGAGCCAAAATTTAACTGAATAGACTTGACAAAAATTCGTAGGAAACCATTCTAGATTCAAGTATTTTTCTATAAAATGAAGTACTGTAACTTATCACAGTGACAGCAGCTCATTTTGTGTGAGTGGGAGAAGCAGGGGATGGTTGGGGCTAATGATCTGGGTTCAGAATGTCCTAGGTTTGAATCCCAGCTACACTGATTAGTAGCTGTGAGTTTGGGTAGATTACTAGGATTTACTTTTTCTTCACCCATAAAATGAGGTAGTGATTAAGCATTTAAGACCTTTGTTCAGCTTGCCTGGGTTTGTTTCTTTGCCCTACTACTACTGTGAGATCGAGTAACTTGTTCTATGAGTATGTTGACTTCCTGTAGGTGATGATGATGATGGTGGTGGTGGTAGTGCCTGCTTCCTAAGAATGAGTTAAGAATGAAATCAGATTACGCACTCAGTTTGGCATAGTACCTAGTTAGTTCTCAGTGTATCTTACTCAGCTGTTTTTCTTACCAGCATTATATTTGGCTTTATACAATGTTCTTTAATGTTGTTTTCTTAGTATCTGT